CACGAGGTTTCGCTGTGGTAATACCGACCACTGTAAGCTTCCCTGGCTAGCCAGCGTGGGGACTCTGGCCGGCTGAAGGGCCAAGGAAATCCGCTTCCTGGCCTGCCTATAAGAGCTCCCAGTGCCCCAATATTTGGAGTATGAGTTGGAAACTGACCTAGAATCCTAAAATAAAGGTAGATGATTACAAAAAGCGCTATTCATCTTCGAGGAAGACACGCTGGTGAGCATGACATGAAGAGCTACCTCAATGCTAGGAAACATGACACAGCTGGTTTTTTTAAACCATAAAAAAGATGTGGTAAGCGCTGGATGCCAGGACATGCTCATACACGTTCACCAAGAACGAGACAAGCCCGACTGTCTTTGAAGTGGGTTGAACTGTGGTCTCCAAAAAAAGACAAATCCATGTTCTAATACCCAGAATCAACGAATGGATCTTATTTGGAAAAAGGGGCTTTGTAGTGTAATTAAGTTAAGGACCTCATGATGAGATCCATCCTAGATTTCGGGTGGGCCCTAAACCCAATGACAACTGTCACTGGCTACGAGAAAGGCAGAGGGAGATTTGAGACTCGGACAGAGAGGGCCATGTGCAGCTGGAGGCAGAGTGGAGGGTGATGCAGCCACAAGTCAAGGAATGCTCAGAGTCACCAGAAGCTGGAAGAAGAAAGGAAGGATTCCCTTCCGGAGGAGAGTGTGCCCAGCCAACACCTTGATTTTTGCCTTTCTGGCCTCCAGAACTGTGAAAAAACAAATTTCTGCCCAGCAGCCCCCGAGGAAACTAATAAATCCCCTTTTCCTTTGATGATAGATGAAAGTTTACAGGACATGAGGAATGAAACAGAAATAGAGTGTCTGGATTTTTGCAATGAATTTGACAAAACCATAATATCCTTGTGGGAAAAGTTGGATAAGCAACTACACCTCTCTCCTGGACTGAATTTTGAGTGAGCCTTACAAATGAAGTCTGGGAGAGATTACTGCTCAGTGAAATCCAACTGCTTTCCATCAGAACGTAAATTCCTTGAGAAAAAGCAGTTTTGTCTCTTTTGTTCAATGCTGTATCCCGGTGCCTTGCAGCCAGAAATAGTTGTTGAATAGCTGACTTTTCTGAGCACCATAAAGCAGGCTTATCAGCATGAAAGGGTCCACTCAGCAGGCTTGCGTTTCTCAAACTCTGCACATTCCTAAGGAAGTCTTGTTTTCAGAATTGGCCCTTGGCTGGTTCCTGGGAGCTGACCGGTAAGAGTGCTTTTGCATACCCAAGGCCTTGAGCCAAGCCACACCAAGTCTGCCCAGATTATTTATACTAAAAATGTGATTTATAGTGAATACGTACTTTTTTTCTGGGGGCCTCGGGCTTCAATAACTAAGGTCAGTCTGCATGTCTACATAAGTAATCTCCAATAAAATCCCTGGACACCCAGGCTGGGGTGAAATTCCCTGGTTGGCAACACTTCCCACATGCCGTTACACGTCCCTGCTGGGGAAATGAAACGCAACTCATGCAACTCCACTGGGAGGGGACATCTAGACACTTACACCTGGTTTCCTCCAGACCTCGCCCCATGCACCCTTTCCCTTCACTGGTTTTACTCTGTATCCTTTTGCTGTAGTAATTTGTAACCACGATGGTGACTACATGCTGAGTGTTGAGTCCTGTGAGTGCTTTTATTTTTTTATTTTTTTTAAAGATTTATTTATTTATTTTGAGAGAGTGAGAATGAGAGAGAGAGAGTACATGAGAGCGGGGAGGGTCAGAGGGAGAAGCAGGCCCCCCGCCGAGCAGGGAGCCCAATGCGGGACTCGATCCCGGGACTCCAGGATCACGACCTGAGCCGAAGGCAGTCGCCTAACCGACTGAGCCACCCAGGCGCCCCTGTGAGTGCTTTCAGCAAATCCTCAAGCCAGAGGGTGGTCTTGGGGACCCCTGACACAGTCTATAAAGATACTCATCTAGGGGAGCCTGGCTGGCTTAGTCAGTACAGCCTGCAACTCTTGATCCTGGGGTCATGAGTTCAAGCCCCATGTTGGGTGTAAAGATTACTTAAATGAATAAAAACTTTTACATATACATATATATATTCTTTGTAAAGACTTTTTTTACACAATTTTATTTATTTATTTGAGAGAGAGAGAGAGAAAGCACAAGCAGGGGGAGGGGCAAAGGGAGAGGGAGAAGCAGACTCGCCGCTGAGCAGGAAGCCCGACACGGGGCTCAATCTCAGGACCCTGAGATCATGACTTGAGCCATGATCTGACTGAGCCACCCAGGTACCCAGACCTTTTTAAAAAAGAAAGAAAAGATACTTCTCTAAAACTGCAATATCAGGGTTTTCACCATATACATATAAACTAACCAACTCATTACCTGCGTGTCCTCATCTTGACCCAGCTTCTCTTTTCTTTTCTTACTTCCGCTGTGAAATTCTATCACTTCTACTGGCTCCCTGTTGTTCTTCAGGGTTGAGGGAGACACTGCAGCACTAGGGACTCCTGCTCCTGAAGGGGAACCGGTGGGGGACACGGCAGGTGCACACTGCAGCTCTTCTCGGAGTCCCTTGAAGAAGCTGGAGGCACTCTTCCTTTGGCCTCTTACAAGAGAACCTGGTAGGGGAGCTGGCTCTGTTGCCACAGCCACCGGAGTCCCGGCACCTCTCTTCTTGTTTTCTACTCTCTTTCTGATGCTTTTCTGTTCTGCTTCATCTTCTGTCTCTCCTGTTTGTTCAAACACAGAGCGGGAAAATACCTTTGGTTTTATCAAATCGTCAAATCATGTGAATGCGCTTGTACGTACGCCACGGCTATCAACACCCAGAAATAACAAAGAAACAAAAGATTTCTTTTTCTTCAAATGGGGTTGTAGTTGCACAATTTTGGGGGTGTATTTTTATTTAATTATTTTTAATTCAATTAATTAGCATATAATGTATTATTGGTACAGGCCTGTGATTCATCAGTCTCATATAATACCCAGTGCTCATTCCATCACATGCCCTCCTTAATGCCCACCACCCAGTTACCCCATCCCTTCCTTCACCTCCCTCCCCTCCAGCAACCCTCAGTTTGTTTCCTATGATTGAGTCTCTCATGGTTTGTTGTATTTGCACAATTTGTAGAATCCAAGATGCAACATCTTTTGCTAGGTAACTAACTGTATTCATGTCTTGGACTCATGGCACAATTACTTCAGCCCTCACCTCAGTCCATACTAACAGCGACCTCAAGGCAATAGTCCCCTGGTAATCCCAGTTGGGGATCTCACTTTGTGCTAAAAATGTCTGCCGCTGCAGCTGGTGTTTTGTTTTTTTTTAATACTCTCTAGGGTTACAGGTGGGTATCATATTCTTCCTATTTTTTTTTTCAGTTATTAATTAAGATGAACCTACGGCAAGTGACTCAATTTGAACACATTTATTTTCTACGAAATGCCCGTATCTCCTCTTTGTTTCACCTGTTCAATTCTGACCAGTCACCTGAAGGTTCTGACCTCATTACTCACCTACAATGCAAGTATCACAGCGCTAAATATCAGCTGATCATTTACGTTCACTTAATATTAAGGGTCAACTAAACTTTGGCATTGGGCACCTAAAAATGGGTAGTTACAGCCCAAGCCTTCAGAGCGCCTCGCATAATTTCAAGCCTGTGCTAACATAAACTATATTTAGGATTTGGCAGAATTGTCTTTTCCTCTGGTTTTTAAACTTCTCAAGGCCAGAGACTGAGTCTTCTCTGTCCTCCGATATTCCCAAGGGCACAGAGATGTTGTGTCCATAGGACGAGTCAATACAAGGGGAGGGACAGGGGCTAGACAGTCTGGGGATTGGAACCCAGGCTCTGCAAATTAATTGCTAGGTGAGCTTCAATACCTTTTTTAACCCCTAATACTTGTTTCTACATTTGTAATAAATGGGATTAATGACAGTATGTATTTCACCAGGATGCGAAGATTAAATGAGTAAATACATGAAAGACATGGACTATATGGCAAATTCTCTATACTTTTTAGCTATTAGTTTTACTGTGTAAGTGAGCTTAGAATTTTGAGCAATGGCTCCAAACTACAATAGCTTTTGCAACAGCACCTTACAAATTTAAGAAACGTTTGCTCCTTAAAGACACTAATGCCTAGGCTATCTCTTGCCTGAACAAGGGATGTCACCTCCCCTGGAGCAAATTCTTCGGAGGGTGTGGAACTGTCTTCCTACTAAGGTGCCAAGCGGTTCCCAATCTTGAATAACCGTTTTTATTTCCTTTTCCCCAAGGAAGATAGAAGGAGAGGGTGGCCAACTTGGTGGAAGAAAAGGCTGTGAAAAGCTTCACGTGAAAACGTTCTCTGAAGTCCGCGGGGGTTGGAACACACTGAAGGTTGGGGCTCTACAGTGACCAGGTGGTACCAACGCACCAGGGTCACGCGGGGCTGGGACGGTGGTGTGGGGGAAGCGGGCTTCCCAGAAGGCCGCGAAATGACAAAGGGTGGGCTATTTTCGAGAGCCCAAGGTCCTGTGTGCATCACACCCTGTAAGCCTGAAAGCCTCGGTGCTTAACGACAAGCAACTAGGTTGGTGCCCGCACTCAGAGACGACTTGGGAGGCTTGATCCATGAAGAATAACAACGGAGCCCGATCGTGGGGCGAGGGGGAGGGGAACTCTGTCGGAGGTGTGTGCTGGACCCATCATGAGAACCAGGTCGGACGAGCCGAGGGGTGCTCCACGTGCAAAAACCGAGAGCCGAGGGCGGCCTAGTTCCGAAGGCACAGCTGACCTCAGCTGCCAGCCCGCTCTCCACGTGGGCTCCGAGGCCCCGCACTCACCAAAATCGTAGAGGTTCCGGAGCAGGGCGTCCAGGAGCATCTGAGAGCCGGGAAGCGCGCGGGACCCCAACCCCTGCTCCTGGGCCATCCGGGGGATGTGTGTGCCACCGCGGTACTGCCCAGAGCCCTCGGGGATTTCGGCCTCGCGGCACCTACACTTCCGAGTTCCGACGCGGTGAGCGCGCGCGCGCGCGCGAGTCGCAGGTCCCGGCGCGGCTTCCGTCCTGGTTAAGATGGCGGCGCCCGGGGTCCTGTGGAGCGGCAGCAGAGGGTGCCGCCGCCCTAGGCGAGGTCGGGCCGCCCAGCGCGGAAGAACCGCCCCCAGCAGCAGCATCACCGCCGCTTAGCAAAGAATTTCAGGCCCCGCCCGGGACGGCAGCCGCACCATGGATTCTCCCAGTTCATCTAACTCTTTCTCCGTCGGCTCCGCCAGTCCCGGCGCTGTCGTGCTCCTCTACTCGGTAGGCGCCCAGGGGAACGAGGCCTGGGGCGGGGCCGCGAGAGAGGACCCCACCCGCTCGGTCCCGGCCTCCCACCGGCCACGACCCCTGGCCCAAAAGAGTGGGTCCCGGGGCCGCCGAGGAGGGGGTAGGTGGCTGACTTGGTTTCCAAGGCAACGGTGTATCGCTGCGTGTGTAAATGTGTGTATGCTTTTAGAAGTTTCTATGGGTGATGGTTCCTCTGGTTCCTTCCCACTCGTTCCTTCTCGTTCCCTCCACCAGGCACGGGGCCTTCAGAAAGCCCCTGATACAGGAATGAGGCGTGAGAATTGGATCTCCGTCTCTAGCGAGGGCTACCTAAAATTTTCATTAAACCGGAGAAACCTGCGGGTCTGACTCGGCCTGAGTTACATCCCGCATGCGGCTCCCCCCCCCTGCCCTTTTGCTGCCGGTGATGTTCTTGGAAGAAAAGTACTTGGCTTGTATGTGGGCATAGAGTTTGTAAGACGTAAAGTTTTTAATCTAGGAAGATTTGGAACTTCTGGAAATTTTTATTGCGTTTTGTCTTCAATCCTTACTTTTTTTTGCAGAAGTCATTTTGGAAGACAACTAATGCCACCCAGCCTCTCCCAACTTGCCTTCCAACCCCCAGGCGCCTCCCCCTCTCCTGATGTTAACCGATCTTTTTTGCCACCACAATGTTGGTCACTCACAATTTATGTGAAGAAATTATGAGGTGAACCCTTTGTAGTTCTCGGGATTGCACAATCCTGGGGCAACGGATATATATATATTTTAACCACTAAATTAATTTTTATCTACTTTACAAGGAAATAAAAGAATGCATTTTAAGAGCATGTTACTGTGTCCTGCAGGCTAGTGCCAGTTTCTGACTTTAATGTTAATTTGTGTCGGAAGGTCATAACAGGGAAAACACAAAACAAGAAAAACAAAAAAAACTCAGTTTCAAAAGAGAATCGTTATATATATATATAGGGCTATATATGGAGGAAACAGAAGTTTCTCCATGTTCCAAAGAATACTGGTGTGTCAGCTTGTTTCCTTGATGGGGAGAGCTCTGGGCTTATAATTGCTGTCAACTGTCCACTTCTGTGAGGGTTATTACTTTAACCTCTCTCCTCATTGACCTTCTCACCCCACAGCTCTGTGGTAGAACTCTCTTTGACTTCATTTTCTGATTCTGCTATTCCAGAGCCGACATGTAGGGAAGCAGGTTGCTTAGTACATCTGACTCGCCACAGGTAGCTTTTTCAGCCCTAAACCAGTTTGTGAGTTGACTACAGCTTTGCACCTGTGTATTAATGGAAAGAGTTGGTTTTTTGACATCCCCGTTTACCACTGGTTCTTTCATGATAACACTTTTGCCAATTTGTTCACATGAAAAATTAAAGCAATTGTGTGAGAGCTTCTTCTGCTTCTGAATTGGACAGAACCCTCACGACTCTTGTGTGCATAGTCTGCTTTTCATGATGACCTGAACGTTTTCTTCCTATTTCAGGCTGTCCTTATTTCAGCCACACTGCACATTGTGCAATACTCCATCTAATGTGAGAGTGGTGCTCAGAGATACTTGACGTACTCTTGATTGCAGCAAACATTCAGCACTCATACCTACAGCATCCTACTCATTCTCAACTTCCAAGATGTGGAAGTGAAAGCTCCACCCCTTGTGTCTGTGGACTTGAAAGAAAGTCACGGCAGTGAACAATCACAGTTGAGATAAGGCCAATGACTGAATCATGCACGGTATGTTGTGGGAGGAATAAGAAGGAGCACCTGACGTGTTTGGGGCTTCAGAGAAGGCTTTTAAGAGAAGGTGACACCTGAGCTGAGTTTTTGAGTTGTGACTCGAAGATGAGAGAGGAGAGGAAGGCTGGCCTAGGCATCCATGTAAGAAAGCCACTCCTTTGCATGTTTGGGAGAACCAAATAGTAAGGGTGGAAGAGGACACGTGAGAAACAAAACTAAGGATGTAGGCAGAAGGTACTTCCTAAGGGGGTTTTATATATCAGCTTTACACACCCTTAAGGATAAAATCTTCACTTTCTAAGGGAACATTTCAGGATGATCAGATTTGTATTTTTGGAAATCTAAGAAGACTAGGTTTCTGGAATGGTTATTTGTGTGGATAACCTTTACTTGAGAAGAGACTGTAGGAGAATCTGATTGGAGAAGGAATCTGATGCCAGAGCGTGGAGAGCAGCAGAACACCACTGCAATAATTCAGAGAAGTGATGAAAGCCTGAAGCAATGGCAGTGAGCCTGGGGAGAGGGGAGATGGGTGAGTTTGTGTGATATTTAGGACAGTGGAAATGCCGTGGCTAAGGAAATGGAGGTGTCTGTGATTTGGCACGTGGGCGGATGTTGATGCCTTTTGCTGATAGGAAATCTGGGGAGAGGAACAGGTTTAGTCAGGGTAATATAATAATTTCAGTTTGGGATGTGTTCAGTGTGAGATGCCAGTGGTAAAATTAATGATTTTTAACTTATGGATTACTGTGTTATGGACCAGATAACATCACAAGATGTGGGGGAGTCATCCAGATAGAGTAAGAAATATGGTACCAGAGCAAAAGAGGAAGGTCTGGCCTAAATATATGGATTCGTCAGACATCAGCAAGTAGATTGTATGTGAGGCCATAGGTCTGCCTGCAATCTTTCAATGAGACCACAGAATGAAAAGAAGACTGGGGATGGGGAATTACTGGTATACCCGGAACCCAAGTCTGAATGAAAAATCTGGACTCTTTACAATATCTTACAAGACTACATAATTGCTACCTCCCTGAATTTACTAATCTTGCACTATGGGCTTCAACCACACGGGCCTTCTGTTTCTCAGACAGTAAGCATGGTCTCTCAAGAGGGTTCACCATTCCCTCTGAGTGGCATGCTGTTTTCCCGGAAATTTGCATCGCTTGTCTCCCCCTCCCTCCCGCCCCTCCCTGGTTTTTTTTGAGGTCGCTGCTCAAATACCCCCTCTCAGAGGGGCCTTACCCACTCGATCTAAAGCAGCTCTCCAGTCACTCCTTCTCGTTACTCTATTTCCTTTATGTTCCCTTTCCAGTGTTGTGCTTACGGCAGTCTTGTACTGACTGTCAAAGCTGATTGTTCATTTTCCATGACGTCTGTGAGCCCATTGGTGGAACACAGACATTATTAAAAATTAAAGATTAAGTTTTATAAATTTACAGTTAAATAAATTTTGTTAAAAAGTAACAAATACTCAAAACTCAGCACTTCCTAATTATTTTACTAGATTTTACTATTATCTATGCTTTTGAGGTTATTTCTGCCTATGATACTGTAAGATGGAAATCCTATGGAATCATGGCTACTACACGTCTCTCCCCAGCTCTGTGTTCAGTGAGGTCATGTTGGTAGCTTGCAATCTGCCACGGTGGGAGTGTAAATGCCACAGAAATTGGCGAATGCTATAAATTAGGGCTCTCGCACAGTTAAACACTCACCAGCATGCTACCGCTGGTATGCCTAAGTAAACTTGTTTATCTGTTGTCTGTCTTTCCTTAAGGGAGTGTAGGCCCTTTCAGTACCCATTCTTTGTCTGCCTTGTTCATGCTTTATTCGCAGCCTGTGGAACAACGCCTGGTACGTTGTGGGCTCTCCATAACTATCTGTTGAATGAATGAATCCTCCAGAGCAGTCAAAAGGGAGGTACAAGGAGAAGCCTGTTTAGCTACAAATAAGGAGGGGCTGCTGTAAAAAGAGAGAGAAACAAAGGGGGGGATATAACCTGAACCTTTTTTGGGCTCTTCTTTGTTTTGTGCTCCTAGATAGGTGGCCATGTAAATATATTTATTTTATGATGGTAAATACTTCTCCATCATGGTTTAGGGAAGACCAACGAATGAGTAGTTAACACTCAACCCTAGCTGCATGTAGGAGTCACTGGGAGTACTTTTAAAAATCATTCTGATGCCCAGGTACCATTCACAGACCAAATTAATCAAGAATCTCTAGGGCCATCCAGACGGCTCAGTCTGTTAAGCGTCTGACTCTTTATCTCAGGTCTTGGTCTCAGGGTGTGGAGCTTACTTAAAAAAAAAAAAATCTCTAGGGTGACCTGGGCATCAGTATATTTTTAAAGTGCCCAGGTTAGTCTCATGTGGAGCCTGGGTTAAAAACTACTGGATTAGACATCAGGTTAGGACCAGATTGGGAGCAGTTTGAGCTTTAGCCTGTGAATATTGGGGAGCCATCAGCAGCAGGGTTCAGGAAGTGGCTGTAATTTATTTTTTCATTCTACAATGATTGAATTCTTACTAGGGAATATAAAAACATATAAGACACAGACAGGAAGTTTATAATCTTGTAGGGGAGATACCAATCTCCCCAGTTACCTCCACAGACAAGAAGTTTATAATCTTGTAGGGGAGATAACAATCCAGGTTAATGAAGTATTTTAGATGCTGTTGGGAAAGGCTCAGTCAGGTCTTAAAGGAGAAGATGATCAATTCAGTCTCGGTTGAGGGGAGAGCTGGGAAATGGTACACAGAGGTAAACAGGAACTGTGGTTGATGGCTAAGTATTTCCAGGTGAACAGTGCGGAAGGGTCTCTCCCTCTTTCTCCGTGTGTGTGTGTGTGTGTGTGTGTGTATACACGTATGTGTACTTATTTATAAGTATTTTATATATTCATATATATAGGTAACCTGTTTATACATGCCTGTATATTGATATATATAGTATATATCTTCCCAGCTGATTCTGATCCTTTTCTCTTTCCACCCCAGGACCACTACGTGGAAAGTCTCTGAGTCCCCTTTATCCCTAAAATTATATAATTTATGATAGTTTGTTGCATTGTACCAAGTCTGAGTCTTATATATAAATTGTCTATTGTTTTACTAATGAGAAATGTGAAATTTGAGAAGGTTCTTGAAACTTAGAAGCAGGAGTATAGTATGTTACAAGGACTGCAGTTTTACACCAGAATTCTAGCAGTTAGATTTTTTCCGCATATATTCTCTATATATGTGGGCATAAAAATGTGCATGTTTGCATACTTCACATGTTTTACATGCTACCCTTTTTATACTGAGACTCATAAATGCTCCTCTGTTTATATTCTCATTATGCCTAGTCATGTTCTCAGTTTAACATTCTGTATCTTTTTCCATTACTTCAACATTTAGTCATTCAATTATGCTATATTCCAAACGCAGCTCGATGTTGGGAAATACAAAGAGGACATGTGTTTCCCACCTTCAAGATAATTGCATCTTAGGGAGATAGACATGCTAACGATTGCAGGGTTATGGCTACATACCCTAATAGAGGTAGGTAGTAGTTAAAGACATTCTAATGAGAAAGAGTAAATCCCTGTGGGTAGCTCAAGGAGGGTTTTCACAGCAGTAATGCCTGAGCAAGGATGACAGAGGAACAAAAAGACCTTCGGGGCCCAGAGATGAGCATGTGCTAAGGCCCAGAATCATGTCCACAGTGAATTGTATTAGGGGGAAATGCAAATCACTTGGTATTGAGTAGACCTTGAGCATGGTGGCCAGTGAGTCTGGAGAGGGAAGGACAGGTCAGGTCAGAGAGTTCCTTGTATGATACCACAAGTGGCTTAGGTCTTAATTCTGAAGGAGGTGGGAATCATGGAAGTATTTTAAGCAGGGAACAATTTGGTCAGAATTATGTTTTGAAAAGAGCACGTGGCAGCATGGAGGGTTGATTAAAGGGGCAAGGAGACCAGTGAGGGGGCTATAGTGATAAAGTGCACAGGCTGGACCTGTGACTGAGGAGTAGTCCTGCTACATCCTTAAAGTCCACCTGGACAGGATTAGATGGATCGCGGGTAAGGGTGTGGGAGGAGGGATATAGGATAAGGCAAAGGGGTGTATGTGGCATGGCGGTTGTTGAGATTTCTGGGAAATAATCAGGTTGTAGGATTGTGCAGAGGAGAAATGAGTTCATTTTGGGAAAGGCCATAGGTGAAGTGTTTGCAAATAAATGTGTCTATCAGGAGCTCACATGGGCAAAGAAAAAAAACAGAGCAGGAGTTTCAACAGCGTGTATAATTAGTATCTAAAGCCAGTTGAGTAGGTGTGAGGACTCAGCACAGTGTATGAAGTGTATGAAGATAAGAGGGTTGGAGATGTTAACAGTAAGGGAGGTGGGAGGACAGAAGGCATATTTTAGTTTTGGGAGGAAGTTTTCCCTTCAGGTTGAGAATCGCGGGTTTAGAGCAATGAGATGGATCTTCTGCTGTGACAAGAGTCATGAATTAAAAACCAAAGTAGGAAAATTTCAGGATGGTTGGAGGTGGAGAAAGGAGGGAGCCCTTGAGAATGGTGTCAGGCTGGAGGGAGGTCTAGGAAGATGAAGACTAGAAAGAGACCAGGGTTTAATGATTAAGTTCGAAAGAAATAATAATGTGTGTTGCATTTTCTCATAATAGCAGTGCATGAAAAATAATTCACATGTCCATTATTAAAAATAATACGGTGGAAGAAACTTAAATGAAAGGGAAGTGTTTATAACATGAAGTGGAAAAATCAGGTGGCAAATCAAAATGTATGTATGTTAGGGGAAGGAATCTGTCTACCTGCCCAGAAAAAAAAGCATTCACTAAAATGGACCCCACCCCACCCCACCCCCGCCCCGGGTCATTGGACATCAGATAATTTTAATTTTCCTCTGTGTGCTTTACTGTATTTTCCAGATTTTTATAATGAACATATAGCACTTTGGTAATTAGAAAAAAAAAATTTTTTTGGCTTTAGAACATTTTATTAGAATCTTTTTGACAAAACCCTATACCCGTTTAAGATACAGTAAAGAAGTAAAAGTGACCTAATTGCTATTTAAGTGCCCCAGACTCTCGTTTTTTCCCCAGTAAGTTGACCGCTGCCTCCACAGGTCAATTCAGGAAAGATGGAGGTGCCTAGGGTCTGCCGGGTAGAAGACAGCCTTTTGTTGGCAAAACCTGTGGTAGCCAGGGAGAAGGGTTGCGGCTCTTGGCTTCTCATCACAGCCCGTAGATGGAAGGGAGCCATGCATTACCAGGCACCCCTGCCATCTCAGCAGCACTTCTCCAGGAGGGTAAAGGCCAAACCCTCAGCCCTTCGGTCACCAGGGAAAAAAAGTATTTGAGGAAGTTGCCTCCACTAAAATGTTTTTAAACAATATTTAATACAGGAAAATGCTCGTAACATATTTGAAAAGGCAAGATAAACTATATTTGGTATGGTCCACCTTTTGAATAAAAGCCATGTATTTGTGTAGCTGTGAATGAAAAAAAATAAGGAAACTAGGAAGTGGTAAAGAATAGTTATTCCTGGGGTATAAAATTGTGGGCAATTTATGTTTACTTGTATGTTTCCATGTTTCCAAACTTTCCATAGTTAACATGGTGAGTAGTGTAGGATAGAGGTTAGGAGCAAGTTCTGTGAAGCCATAAGGCTGGAGTTTGAATCATGCCTCTGTCCTTTGCAGAGTGGAACGCTGAGTGAGTTATTTTGGTTCTCCATGCCTTGGTTTTCCCATTGTGGAGGATCATTCCCGTATTAAGAAAGCATGCCTTGGAATAGTGCCTGACCTTTAGGAAACAACTGTACATGTTAGCTGTAATTATCATTTTTACTGTTATTACTTTTATAATCCGAAAAACAAAATTTTAATAATTAACAATTCAGTGGTCATTGGTAGCCTGATAAACAGCAGTTTCAGGGACTGGTTGGATGGAAGCTGAACTGCAGGGAGTCAAAAGGGGGTAAGAAAGTAGTCATAGCAAGACAGACTGCTCGCCAATAGCTTCTGTGGGAGCACTTTTTTCTTAAGTGAATTTTCCTTTTATTTGCACCCATGTATTTTATTTGATTTGACATAATTTTGAATTTCTATTGTATGCTTTAATTTTTAAAGCTACGTAGAAGAGGCAGACAAATTTATCAATGTGCTTGATAAAATTGGTCAGATAAAATTGATTGCAAAGTTGATCAGATGATTCTAGAGCTTAATGTCTCAATCTTTGCTATCTTTGTTAACTTTCCCAGAGGGGTACTGGCTTTACAAAGATAGCAAGCAGAAATAATAAAATATTATACTTCAAGATCCATTTTTTGGACCCCAACTATCATTATATTTCCTTTTCTTAGTATAGGAAGACCCATTATCCGTTCACTCTGCTCTTGTTCATATGTCCTAGCATAAAAATGTTGGCAGAGATGAAACCTTACCAGTGTAGTCTCTCATCTGTCCTAATTTACTTTACAGTATGTGCATTACTTTCTTTCGTTTGCCTTACCCACAGAAGGAGCTCAAAAAATGGGATGAATTTGAAGATATTTTAGAGGAGAGGAGGCATGTCAGTGACTTGAAATTTGCAATGAAATGCTACACACCTCTTGTCTATAAGGGAATTACTCCTTGCAAGCCAAGTGATATTAAATCTAGTGTTCTCAATTCTGAAGAAGTTCATTATGTCATTAAACAGGTAAGTGATTCCCTCTTCAACCAAAACCAGATTTGTTCATTGTCAACAAGGAACAGCACAGGTCCACTTACTTATACATAGATTTTTTTTCAGTAAATACAGTACAGTACTGTAAATGTTTTCCTTATAGTTTTTTTAAAAAGGCTTTCTCTAGCTTATTTTACTGTGAGAATACAGCCTATAATGCATGTAACGTTGAAAATACCTGTAAATCAACTGTTTATGTTATCCGTAAGGCTATCAGTCAGGAGTAGGCCATTAGTCAAGTTTTGGGGAGCCAAAAGTTACATGTGGATTTTCAACCACCTAGGGGGTCGGCACCCAGCCCCCACGTTGTTCAAGGGTCAACTGTAGTCTGACAGGGAACAATGACAGTTGTACAGTCAATTACAATGAAATAAGATACAAGACATGCTAGTGGGAGCCCAGTGTACAGGGGCACTAATCATAGGGCAAATAATTTTGTGTAGGGAATTAGAAAGGTGATTTTTTTTTTTAATGATGCCTAAAAGATGGTTAGGGGTTTTCCAGGTGAAGTGGGTGAAGAAGTATTCCTAGCAGAGCAAATAACTTTTTCCCCATGGTTAAATCTCACTGCACATTAAAATTGCTAGAGAAACTTTCAAGAATCCCTGTGCATAGATCTCACCCCCATATGAATTAGAATGTCAGGGAAGGAGCCAGACATCCTAGGAGTAGTTTTTAAAGAAGCCCAGTCGAGGGGCGGCGCCTGGGTGGCTCATTTGGTTAAGTGTCCAACTCTTGGTTTTGGCTCAGGTCAGGATCTCAGGGTCGTGAGATGGAGCCCCTTGTTGGGCTCCATGCTGGGTGTGCACCTGCTTAAGATTTTTTCTCCCTCTACCCCACCCCCGCTCACATTCTGTCTCTCAAGAAGAAAAAAAAGGAGCAGCAGCCCAGTTGGTTCCAAAGTATAGCAAAGTTTGGGAGCCACCAGTATATTTTAGCAACTAGAGAACATGCATAGTCACAGTACTAGGAGCAGTTCAGTATGACCAGACCGGAGAGAGCAAAGAAGGGGTAACATGGTAGGAATTTAGAGACAGGGGCCACATCACAAAGGGTGTTATAAACCATTCAGAGGGGCCACCTGGGTGGCTCAGTCAGTTAAGCATCTGACTTCAGCTTGGGTCATGATCTCAGGGTTTTGAGATCAAGCCCCAAGTTGGGCTCCCCACTCAGTGGGGAGTCTGCTGGAGATTCTCTCTTCCCCTCTCTCTCTCTCCCTCTGCCCTCCCCCTACTCATACTCGCTCGCTCTCTCTCTCTAAAAATAAATAATAAATAAATCTTATAAACCATCCAGAGGAATTAGATTTTATCCTACATACAGTGCAAAGCCATTGAAAGGTTTTAGGTTGGAGTGTGGCCTGATCAGTTAATGTTTTAGAAACACCATTCTGCCACAAGTGGAGACAGGAAGTCTGGTTATGATGCTCTTCCAGTAATCCTTTTGTGGGATCACAGTTGCCTAGACTGTGGTTGTAGAAACAGAGATGGACAGATTTAAGAAATTTAAGAGGTAGGGGTGCCTGGGGTGGCTCAGTCCGTTGTGTCCGAGTCTAGATTTTGGCTCAGGTCATGATCTTAGGAACCTGAGATTGAGCCCTGAGTCAGGCTCCGTGCTGAGCATGGAGCTCCGTGCTGAGCTTAAGATTCTCCCTCTGCCCCTCCCTCCTCCTCTCTCACTCCCTCTCAAAACAGAAAGAAACATTTCAGAGGTGGAGTAGACCTTATTTATGATCAGTTGGGTGAATGACAGGAAGGAAAAGAGAGGATGACAGAAGCATTCACTGAGATAGGGAACTTAGGAGAGGGAATGGGCTTGAGAGAAAAGCTAAGGTCTGTTTTGGACATGTCATTTGAAGACATCAGATAGAGGTATTCAGTGGGCACGATTACAGCTTCCTCATGGCCGGCCCTCCCTGTCACATTGTCCAGGTGTTCCCAGGCTTTGAGATTTACCTGTAGAGACTGTGCTCCATTGACTTTTTGTTAAGATTTATTTATTTGAGATAGAGAGTGAGCAAGAGAGAGGGCATGCACACGAGCAGGGGCAGAGGGAGAGGGAGAAGCAGGCTCCTCGCTGAGCCGGGAGCCCGATGCGGGCTTGGCTCCATCCCAGGACCCCGGGATCATGACCTGAGCCGAGGGCAGACGCTTCACTGACTGAGCCACCCAGGCGCTCCTGGCTGTTTTCTTCTGATTTGAATGAACGTTTGACCTATGCTCATCCTTTTGGTTTAATCTGTCATGATGTGTCTTGGGGAAACTATTAGTCCTCTCTGAGTGGGCCTATTTCATAAGTGAAATAAAGTTTCCTCATCAATTAGAAGCTAAAGACAGTGGTTCTCAATACTGGCTCTTTGTTAGAATCACCTGGAGAACTTTTACGGAAAGTTAACTATTATTTTCCACTGGTATGAAGGCTAAATTTTTTAGCCTTGAAGGCTATGGAGGCAAAAACTCCATGAAGGCAAAAATTTTTATCTCCCTTATGACTCTCTTTTTTTTTTTCTGTATTCTATATTTTTATCTTTTTTTTGTCGTATTCCTAGTGCCTAACACACAGTACACATTCAATAAATATTTCTCGAATGAATGAATGAAAAAAAAATGCTTTTGTCCTGTCCGCCGAGATCCCGATGTAATTGGTCTGGAATAGGACCCAGGCATCTCTTTCTTCTTCTTTTTCTTTTTTAAAAGCTCCCCAAGTAATTCTAATACACAGCCAGGTTAAGTATGACTAATATAAGCCAGTGTTTCTCAAACTTGGCTGTGCTGCTGAGGAAAAAAAAATCACTTAATGTAAGTAAATTGGAATTGTTCTAAACTCAGGATTATGCAACACAGCTGAGCCCTCAGTGTTACCCAAGAATTCCTTGTTTCCCCAGGGAACTCTCTCCCAGTCTCCAAAATGGAAGTATAGTGTCAGCCCTGTTCTTTCTGAGCCTCCAGCCTCCGTCCCTTACCCTCAACAGGTGACATTTCTTCCTACTTCATAAAGACGATGTAAACCATTATGTGACAACTCCCAACTTCCTGTGATCCAGCTACTAATTTACCTGCATCTGTACCCTTATTCTCTTCTTCCCTCCTGTTAAAAAGGGACAGGGAGCTCTTTCTCCTGTTGGAGTGCAACCCCTCCCCTACTCCTTTGCTCTGAACTTCACCTGCTCCGTCCTCCTCAGGGACTTTGGGCTATTGTCTGTCCCCTCAAATGTCTTCAACTTCTTCCTCTTCATTAGCTCTTTACCATCATCACTGAACTTGTTCAGTCCTCTTCCAGCTGAAATCAACCTTGTTTGGGCATATTCCTTCTCTCCTTATGACTCAGCACTTCCTTTCCCACTTGTACTCTCCTCCTGGAAGAAGTCAGCTGTGTTTGCCGTACTTGGGGCTGTACTTTCTCACCCCCCGTGTATACACAGCTCACTGGGATCCAGTTTCTAACCCGCTGTAATTGCTCTTTCCAAGACTGTGAATGACTCCTTCCTGATGGCTAAAATCAACCTTGTTGATATCCTTCGTAGCCTTTGGCACACTCTCCCTCCTTTTTTTCTGTGATACCATATTTTCTCCCCCTTACCCACCAAATCTTTTTTTTTTTTAAGATTTTATTTTTAAGTAATCTCTACACCCAGTGTGGGGCTTGAACCCACAATCCCGAGATCAAGAGTCGCATGCTTCAACTGAACCAGCCAGGTGCCCCCCTCCACCACCACCACCAAATCTTTTTGATCATTCCTCAGTTGTCTTTATGGGCTTCTTTTCCTTTGCCTGTCTCTTTAAATGCTGCTATTCCTCAGGATTTTGTTCTAATCCCTTCTTACTCTACCTACTCACTGGGCAGTTTTATTTATCATCAGATTCCTTATGCTGATGTCTCCGTATTATATTATAATTAAATAATATGTTATAAATAGCAATATATAGTAAATAATAATTGGTATCTATTGCTTCAGCCCAGATCTCTTTTGAATTTCATACATATATTTTTGTCTACTGGAATACCTACTTGGAAAACCCAAAAGCATCTCACATTCAGGAGCTCTTTGGCCCCCCCACCCCCAGCACTGTACCATGCACACCCCCCCCACCCAGTTCTGCGTATCTCCAAGAACGGCCCCTCCACATGTCCGCTGCTCAGACCAGGAATCCGGATGCCGTCTTGGGCTTCTCGCTTGCCCTTCCTACGCTGCCCTCCTCGGTAGCTCCTGTCTCTTCTAGCTCTGCTGTCACCTCAGGCTGCCTTTGTCCCACCGAACATGCAGGGCAGCCAGTGAAAGGCTTCGGCCCAGGAAGGATGAGATTAGTTCTGCGTTTAAGATACCGCTCAGGGGCACCTGGGGGGCGCAGTCAGTGAAGCATCTGCTCGGGTCAGGATCCCTGGGATCGAGCCCCACATCCAAGCTTCCCCCTCTCTCTCTGCCCCTCCCCCTGCTCATGCTCTCTCTCTCTCTCTCTCTCTCAAATAAATAAATAAAACCTTAAAAAAAAAAAAAGAAACCACTCAGGTTTGTGATGTGGAGAACAGACTGAAAAGGGACAACACTGGAACAAGGAGTTATAAAGCTATTTATCTTCTAATCTTATCTTAGGTTTCCAGCAAGAAGGATCTGGAAGGACAGACATATCTGTTGGGCAAACAAGAAGTCCCATTGCACAAAATAAGAGATCAGGTCATTCTCTGCTTCTGTGCTTTCCTCCAGTCCTGGAGAAGGCTATTCCTTCTGAACAGACCAGCCTGCTCACCTGTGTTCTTCATCTGCCCAATTCCTTCAGATCCCCAGGGGGCTTGTCTGTCCTCTTCAGCCTTCTGCACGGGCCCCGCTGGGCATCAGCACTTCCTGGTGGGGGCCTGCCCAGTCATGGATTCGTTCTTTTGAATGCTCCCTTTCTCTTTCCCTTCTCATCCCAGCTTCTCAAAGGTGTAGTGTGTCCTTCCCGGTGCACCTCCTACTTTCAGCAGGTGGCTGCATTTGGTCCAGTAAAGCTTACTGTGGATCTCCAAGTGACCCAATCCAAGGGGTCCTTTTAGTCTTCCCTGTATCTTGACTGTGTCAGTTTTTGTTGGACACTCTCTCCTGCAGGACCTCTCTTACCTTGACATTTATGGCATCACACAGTAGGGTTCTCTTATCATCTTCCTTGTTAATCTCTTTACGAGTTCTTCCATCCGCCGGTCAGTGTTTCTGAAGGTTGAACCTTCAGCCTTCTTATCTTCATCCCTGAAGTCTCCCTGGTCTGTTTTATCCACTCCTGTCATTTCCATTTTCATCTGTAGTCTGGTGATGCCCAAACAGGACCTCTAGCCTTGGCTAGGTTATCGGGGTTCAGACTCTTATCTCCAGTTGTCATACTCCCTGCGGGTCCTCTACTTTATATGTCTCCAAACACCTCAAAATCAGTATACCTGCCTTCTCAACCCCTGCACCACACTGCCTTCTACCCCTGCTCTCTGTCCCCAGTTCCAGGACGGCCCCACCATCCATTCTGTTGCCCAAAACAGCTGAGCACTCACGCCCCGTCCCCTTCCCTTCAGCATCTGTTATTGCCTTTCTGGGGGCCTTTTCTGTCTCCGGCCTGAACTATTTTGATGGTTTTCCAAGTGTACTCCCTTTTCCTAGGCTTGTGTCCTGAAATCCATCCTTACCACCAGTCCATTGATTCCTCTATTTCCCTGCAAAAGATAAAATATGGAGCTAAGGAGAGGAGGATTATCCATTTGTGAAGGTACCAAGTGCCACTGAATTGTTTAGTTTGAAATGGCTAATTTTATGCTATGTTAATTTCACCTCAATTATTTTTAAAAAAGAGAAGCTATTTCTCTGCTTCATGTAATTTAGGAAGTTGGGACTCTAGCATCCTACCGTCTCATCTTCTGGGCCTCATCCTAAAGCAGAACATTCTCCTCTGCAAAGGATAAATATTATTTATCACATAGACGCCATTCTTTTTCAACGTGCTTGCTTAAGGGGTCAAATTCGAATTCCCTGAGGACAGACAGTGACTTATTCATCCCCATCCCCAGGCCTAGCACACAGCCGACATTTTGTTCTCTTTACAAAGAGATGTGGTACGCCTTCGGAATAAAGAGAGTTCCGGTGTGAGGTCATTGACTTCACTAGTTATCTTTTGATACTTTGGAGAGTTTTGTCCCAGTAACCTGTATCTCTGATATGGTCTGAATGGTTACTTCAACATAATCTTGTATTTTTACTTTGTATATTACTTTGTAGTAGCACGGAGCAAGCAGATGAAGTGCTGCAGCAATCTGCTGAAAGAAACTGCCAAATATCTATGCTAGCACACTAGTTCCTGGGCAACAACTTATTTTAGAGAATTTGGCTGTAAGCTTATTAACAAATCAAATGGAAAGGTGAGATGCTATCCTAGAGAGCCTATTCTGTTTCTCTTTGAATTTCCAGTCATTGAAGTTGTCTAAATAGGATCATTTATCTATTTATGTTGGAAGATAAATTATGTCAATTTAAATGAGAAAGAAAATGTAACATTTTTGAGCTATCGGTCCATTTGGAACTAGTCATAGCAGTTTGAGTGAAGAGTTCTGGCTTTTCTTCAGAGTCGTACCCGTTTCCCCTTTCTTTCTAGCTTTCCAAGGAATCCCTTCAATCCGTCGATGTCCTCCAAGAGGAAGTTTGTGAGATTTTGGATGAAATGAGCCACAAACTGCGTCTGGGAGCCATCCGGTTTTTTGCCTTTGCCCTGAGCAAAATATTTAAACAAATTTTCTCCAAGGTGTGTGTAAATGAAGAAGGTATTCAGAAAGTGAGTACTGCTTGTTTAAAAACAACCTCTTCTACCCCTCACGATTTAATCCACTCCAAGACATCTCACTCCGCACTAAATGAGCAGGCCCTCGTCAGCAGGCATCCAGGCTGCTTTGCTTCTCTGGAGGGTGATGTTTTTTGCTTTCAGACCTACAGACCTCAGACTAATTCACTTAGTCAGGTAAGACTTACAGACAAACTTCATGCCAGATGTCCGCAAAGCTACAGAAGTAATACCAAGAATTTCTGCGTATGATCCACCTGGGTCCCCTTACAACATTTCCTTTATCCTCTCCTCAATACTCTGCTGTGTTTTTCCCATAAACAAGGACATTCCCTTATGGTGCAATTATCAAAATAAGCAAATTGACATTGATACAGCACTAATACACAGTAATACAGACCTCATTCGTATCTCATTGATCACCCCAGTTATATCTTGTGTAGCAAAAGAAATCCTACATCATGTGTTACATTCAGCTTCCATATCTCTTTAGACTCTTTTAATCTGGAACAATTCCTTAGTCTTTGTGTTTCTTTTTTTTTTTTTTTTAAGATTTTATTTATTTATCCATAAGAGGCAGAGGGAGAAGCAGGCTCCCCGCTGAGCAGGGAGCCCGAAGCGGGACTCAATCCCAGGACCCTGGGATCATGACCTGAGCCGAAGGCAGACACTTAATCATCTGAGCCACCCAGGCTGGGCCCAGTCTTTGTGTTTCATACTAGTTTAAAAAAAAAAACAAAACAAAAACGGACCAGTCATTTTATAGCATGTCTTGATTTGGATTGAGTGATGTTTTCTCAGGATTAGACTCACAGTTGTAGGGCTTGGGCAGGAGGCAACATTGTATTCTTCTCAGTGCAACAGATGGAGGAGCTCATGGTGGCTGTCTGTCCCCTTACTGGTAGTGTTCACTTTCATCATCTGGTATCAGCCGGGTTCCTCCACTGTAAAGTTACCCTATTTCCCTTGGTAAAGAATAAGTATCATGTGGAGAGATACTCTAAGGATGTTTCAGGGTCCTGGTTTCCAGCGTAGTCTCCTCCACAAGTTTTCACATTGACTGATGATTTTTGCCTGAACCAGTTATTACTCAGATGATTGCCAAATGGTGATTTTTCTAATTCCATCACTCAGGAGTGATTTAACAGGCGTGTTATAGTCTGCTTTCTTCTGGAAGGAAGAGCTTTTCCTATTTTTATTCATTTTTTATTTTTAATGTTGTTTTTACCCTTACTAAGAAGCTCTTACCTCCATTGGCCTTCTACATGTTTTTTAATGTTTTATTCAGTCATTTACTTTACTTTCATGTATTTCTTCTGTTTTCCTCCAATGACTATTCTCCAGTTTGCTGAGTTACTCTCTGGCTCTCTCTCAAAGAATGTTTGCGGGGGGGGCCTGGGTGGCTCAGTCAGTTGAGCATCCAACTCTTGGTTTTGACTGGGGTCATGATCTCATGGGTCATGAGATTAAGCCCTGCTTCGGGCTCCATGCTCATTAGGGAGTCTGCTTGAGATTCTCTCCCTCTGCCCACGCCCCCATGCGTGCTCATGCACTCTCTCACTCTCTCAAAGAAATAAATAAATCTTAAAAAAAAAAGTTTGATACGGCTATCGAGAGAATGTTGACTGGCCACGTCTTCTTAACTGATCACACATTACCTTGCCTTGGTGAATTATATTTAGATTTTTTAAAAACAGATAACACATTGATCCAGGTGAATATTTTTGAGGCTGATAGCCTACGGAATATATCTGGAAGCTCAAATTCCTTCTAAGGGCACCCATTCTTCCTGGTGGCAAGTCCAGTGTATAAATAGAGAAATACCATACCTCTCATTTGTCCAATTTGTTTTTATTAATCTACCTGAGAGACACTTTGTTCTCTCTTACTGCACACAACCAGTCTAGATTGGTTGGCATATCTGCATTGGATAACAGCTGACTTTTTAATTCAGACTCAGTTCAGTTCCATCTGCAGCTTGGCCGTTGATCAGATGCGTGACCCATGTCGCAAATGAGGAACCTAATGCTTAGGCCTTATTTACAAATATGTCGTATTAAACAATGCATGTAAAATGCTTAGTATGTAAAATGCTTAATAGGGTGCCCAGCTAATATGTTGGTGATCATCCCTATTATTATTAGGATCTATAAAATGTACATTTTTAATGTTCTTGCATTATGTGAGGTTAACTAAAACTCTGAGATAAGTTTTCTGTGTGTAGTAGGGGAGGCAGGAAGACATTATTATCCTTAGTACTCCCTCTGTACATATACCCATTCTTCCATTTTCTGATGTGACATGTGATTTTAATAAGAGGAAAACAGAAAGTATTCAAACCGTAACATTTCTTTTAAAGCTACAACGAGCCATCCAGGAGCACCCCGTTGTCCTGCTGCCCAGTCATCGAAGTTACATTGACTTTCTGATGTTGTCTTTTCTCTTATACAACTATGATTTACCGGTACCAGTCATAGCTGCAGGAACAGGTACGTATTGTTTTGTTTTAATTATAAAAATGAAAATAGTCACTGAAACGATTTTCGCAGTGATGGAGGTACTTGAAGATGAGGGTGCAGACCCCCTCCCCCTCCTGCCATCCGACCCCGGTGTCCGGTAGTCGGGGTTAAGTCTCTCCGTGCTGTCCTCACTGCAGACGGAAACAAGGATGTGTGCACAGGGGCGTTTCGGTTTAGGTTTGAAAAATGAGATGCCACCATATGTATGACCTGCCTTTGCTTTTTTTATCTGATAATTTATCAGTGGTTATCTCTAAGGTCAGTAAAATTTTTTTTACATATTTTCTAATTATGGTAAAAGACACAAAACATAAAATTTACCACCGTAACCATCTTTAAGTCCGTAGTTCGGTGGTATTAAGTACATTCACATTGTTGCGCATCCCTCACCACCTTCCGTCCACAGAACTCCACCCACTTTTCATCTCAGCAGACCTGAAATTCTGTCCCCATTCAACGCTAACTCCTCATTCTGGTCTCCCGCTGGCTGCTGGCCACCACCATTCTACTTTCTGTCTCTAGGAATTTGGCTCCTCTAGATACCTCATATGCGTGGAATCCTACAGGATTTGTCCTTTCATGACTGGTTTCTTTCACTCAGCATCATGTCCTCAGGGTCCATTCATGTTGCACCATGTTTCAGAATTTTCTTCCTAAGGGCCGAATCCTATTTGATTGGACGTATAGAGCACATGTTGTTTATCCATTGTTCTGTCCATGGACGCTTGGGTTGCTTCCACCTTTTGGCTATTGTGAATAATGCTGCTATGACCATAGGTGTACAAACATCTGCTTGAGTCTCTGCAGGTGTTTGAGTCTTCCGGGTATATATCCAGAAGTAGAATTGCTGGATTATATGCTAATTTTTTAAAAATTTTTTGAAGACCATATTGTCTTCCATAGTGGCTGCACCATTTTACATCCCATCAGCACAGTACACAATGGTCCAGTTTCTCTGCATCCAACATTTATTTTCTTGTAGTTTTTGTTTTTTTAAGATTGTATTTATTTGTCAGAGAGAGAGAACACGAACAGGGGGAGTGGCAGACAGAGGGAGAAGCGGGCTCTCCGCTGAGCAAGGAGCCCAATGCAGGACTCGATCCCAGGACCCTGGGATCATGACCTGAGCCAAAGGCAGACACCTAACCAACTGAGTCACCTAGGCATTCCTGGGGTTTTCTTGTTTTGCTTTTTTGTTTTTTAATAATAGCCATCCTAATGGGTAGGACGTGGTATCTCGGTATGATTTTGATTTGCATTTCCCTGGTGACTAACATTGTTGATCATCTTTTCATGTACTTTTTGACCATTTCTGTATCTTTTTTGGAAGAGTATCTATTCAAGTCTTTTGCCTATTTTTGAATTGGGTTTTTTGTTGTTGTTCTTGAGTTGTAGGAGTTCTTTATATATTCTGAATAATAACCCCTTATCAGATACATGATCTGCAAATATTTTTTCCCTTCTCACATCAAATTTCTCCCAAAGTTGACTTTGCACTCTATCAATGGATCCTTTGATGCACAGAAGCTTTTCATTGTGATATAGCCCAATTTCTTTGTCAGTTTCTTTTGTTCTCTGTGCGTTCGGTGTCCTATCCAGGAAATCATTGCCACATTTAATATCATGAAGTTTTACCTCTATGTTTTCTTCTAAGAATTTTATAGTTTTAGGTCTTACATTTAGGCCTTTGATCCATTTCGAGTTAATTTGGATACAGTGTAAGATGAAGGCCCAACTTCATATCTGACATTATAATATTCAGCAGGGTAGGTGAATATTACGGCCAACTGTAATTCGGTAGTTTTTTGGTTGCAGTTTTACAACATATTCTCATATTGGTGCTTTTATTTCTGGAGGACTGATTCCTAAAAGCAGGATTGCTAATGCAAATCATTGTTTATCTTCTCCCTTTGGAGGGAGCCAGCAAAGTTGGGATTCAGGCATACACCTTGGTTAATAAATGCAGTAAAGAGTGAGGTAAAAATTGCCAGGGACTTAAATACTTTAAAAGCATTTTCATCTGTCCAGACATGTGAGCGTTGAAAATTAAGGAAAATGGAAAAAAGGAGGGTTTTAAAACGGATGTCAGACTAAAGCATCCCAGACTTGCTTTATTTCATCTGTGCTACTAAAAGAAGGCTGATATTTTTACCTCATGGGTAAGAAAGAAAGGCGAGAGCTGGTCTGGCCAGGTGGCCAACACGGAGGACACGTGCCGGTCTGTCGTCAAGCGGCATGATCACCTTACTGAGCTCATCACCGTGCCGGCCGTGGTTATAAATGCGGGGGTGCGGGGGGCACACGTGGTAGCCCCTCGGTGGGCCTGCCCACGCTGTCCCAGGCTCTCCCATAATTCTGTTTGATGTCTCTTCTTCTGGATTTTCAGCTCGGGAAGTACGATTAGTGATAATCATAGCAGTGGCTTCCGTACGTGAACTCTTCTGTCACAGAATGTAAGTTTAGGTATTTATAGGAAGTTTCAAGATATGCAAATAAAGATGAAGCCCTTCTCTATTTATTGTTTAGACTTCCTGGGAATGAAGATGGTTGGGGAGCTGCTGCGGATGTCGGGCGCCTTCTTCATGCGGCGTACCTTTGGTGGCAATAAACTCTACTGGGCGGTGTTCTCTGAATACGTGAAAACCATGTTGCGGGTAAAGGCAGAGAACTTCCGAGTACTTTCAGGCTGCATTTCCTTTTCACTCGAGCTTGAGCTTGCCGTAGGATCGGACTTAAATTCTTCACTCCTGAATGGCCCGCTTGGCTTCTTGTCCCCGTGAAGGAATGTGCATGACCTCCCCGGTCTGTTTGCCCCGTGTGGCTCTCTTGCCTGGGTGCGCTATGCGCAGTGTTTGCTCAGGAGGCCGGAGCGGGGTGCGGGGGCAGCTTGGGGAAAGGAATCAAAAGAAGCATTTCTCACTTTGAGAGTAGGCAATGGGTTTTGTGTTTTGTTTTGTTCATTTGTGTTTTCTCTTTAAAGAATGGTTATGCTCCTGTTGAATTTTTCCTCGAAGGGACAAGAAGTCGCTCTGCCAAGACATTGACTCCGAAATTTGGTAGGTCCTTTAGAGATTGAAAGAAGAATACAAACCCAGAAGGTGGGGTGTCATCGGAGCTGCTAAATACAGCTTGACACTTTTTTTTTTTTGCAAGATATTTTTTCTTTAGAAGTGTAACTGTTTCTTTAAGTTGTAACTGTTTATATTTATGGGCTTAGGATATAATGTACACTTCAGTATCTTCCTGTTTATGTATCCTCCTTTCACTGTATACAGAAAACCATTTCTCCCTGTTGACAGGTCTTCTGAATATTGTGATGGAACCATTTTTTAAAAGAGAAGTTTTTGATACCTACCTTGTTCCAATTAGCATCAGTTACGATAAGATATTGGAAGAAATGCTTTACGTGTATGAGCTTCTAGGGGTTCCTAAGCCGAAAGAATCTACAACTGTACGTAAAGGATAACCAACTTGATTTTACTTGAATTTAGAGAAAATGCTGGTTTATACACCAACTCCTTTCTGAACTTACTCTTGTTTCATTTCCTCTGTTATTAGGGATTGTTGAAAGCCAGGAAGGTTCTCTCTGAAAATTTTGGAACTATCCATGTATACTTTGGAGACCCTGTGTCACTTCGATCTCTGGCGGCTGGGAGGTTGAGTCGGAGCCCATATAACTTGGTTCCAAGGTGCAAGGCCTGTGTTTTCATAACTGACATAGAAATAAGGATGAAAATCTGGAGGTGTGGTTGTGATTCTTGAGTTGACCCCTTCTAGGACTGAAATTTGGTTATCTGAGACCACGTATCAGGGAAGCAGAAAGCTTCAGTTAAAGAATTACGTTTGCAGGGCACCTGGCTGGCTCAGTCGATGGAGCGTTTGACTCTTGATCTCAGGATTATGAGTTTGAGCCCCACGCTGGGTGTGGAGATTACTTAAAAGTTAAAAAAAAAAAAAAAAATTTAAGAGAAGAATTATGTTTGCCAAAGAAAACGGTTAGCTGCAGGGTATATATGTCAAATACACAGAGTCGGACAGTGCTGCTCATTCTTCTCAGGGGAACCAGTTCTCTACCACCTGTACTATACTCCAGCGCCTAGTACCCTACCCATTCTGTGTGGGGGAGAGTTGCTGAGCACTATTGGTAGGTCAGCCAAAGTGTGTGGTAAGTATTATTTTTGATCCTAGAAGGGATTATATGATAACAATGAATGGGAGTGAGTCCCTATCCTCAGAGTTACAGTTTTGTTTTGTTTTTTAAGATTTTATTTATTTATTTGAGAAAGAGAGAAAGTGGGAGGGAAGGAAAGGAAGAGGGACAAGCAGACTCTGTGCTGAGCACAGAGCCCGACTCGGGGCTCCATCCCACGACCCTGAGATCAATGACCTGAGCCGAAACCAAGAGTCAGATGCTTAACCCACTGGGCCACCCAGGCGTCCCCAGAAGGTTGTAGTTTTATGGGCACAGAAATGTATTAGGTCCTTTCAGGATGCAGGTACAGACACACACTTGGGTTTTCTTAATTTGGAGAAATACACCTGGGGAAGTAAGGGAGACAAACCATCTGCTCAGCCAGGCTTCCCGTGATTACAACATCGTTCATAATTTATTGCGCCAGTGGGCCCACGGCCGCCTGTGTGCGTCACTAGCAGCTTCATTAGCTCTCAAGCCGATGTTAGGTTTTTGCTGCCACAGGCTTTCCCTCTCTAGATCTCACATCGGGTTGGCCAGTTGTTCTCTCATCGGCCCTAGCTTTCACGTGAAGCCACCTTACCGTGTGGCTGCTTTGGGTCCTGTGCATGTCCCTGCTTCATCCTGCTCCGTACAGCCTCCTGATACCATCTGACTCCCAGTTTGCTGATCCATGCCTGAAGAGTCTGTCAGGTGAGGATCGTGGCAGTACTTGGCAGGTGACCTTGAGCTTCTTAGAAGGGCAGTGTAGCCGCCAGGCAAACCGGATAGCCTGTCCAGCGCAGACATGAGCAGTTACCATGTGACCTGGTACGCGTGTTCTGGGAGACAGGTGTTCAAAGCACAGTGGATTCTGAGAGGACCGAGTAGTTCCGTCTACTGGGGGAGGCCTCTGTTTTCACAGGGGAAGTGATAGATCTATTTATAAGGCAGCAGAAGTTTTTTTTGCCTGGAACCGGGAAGAATAGGACTCTGTCCCCTTGGACAGGCTACGCTATAATAAAGTAAAGGTATATTCTTGCATTGTGACCTGAGAGAATTTGGTTGGCAGAAAGTACGAGAAGCCTTCTCAAGGGTCTGTCTTCTCCCACCCCCCACCCTCCCTTCACATTAGTGTAGGTAGCAGAGCTGTAATTTGTTCTTCTCTGTTCTTCCTTGTAGGTATATTCCTCAGAAACAGTCAGAGGACATGCATGCCTTTGTCACTGAAGTTGCCTATAAAATGCAGCTTCTGCAGATTCAAAACCTGGTTCTGAGCCCCTGGGCCCTAACGGTTGCTGTTCTGCTTCAGAACCGGCCATCCATGGACTTCGATGCTCTGGTGGAGAAGACTTTATGGCTCAAAGGCTTAACCCAGGCCTTCGGGGGCTTTCTCACTTGGCCCGGTACGTATGTGGGACGTACATGATGAGAGTGCTTGCTTTTTATTTCTTACTCTGGAAGAGTTCTGGCCTAAGCATGAAAAACCCTATGCAGGACGCGGAGCAAAGCTTTGCTCAGAGAGAAAGAAAACTTTATTTGTTTCTATCACTCTGGGACATTGTACAGCATGGTGATTACTCGACAATAGTTGTTCACGCGTCACTTCTTGTGAGACTCTGAGTATCTGGAGAACGAGAACCCGGTCTCCTTGGCCCCCAGCGGAGTGGAGAGTAAATGAATATTCTTGTCCTCCACGTATTCCTTCCTCCATACCACCTCTTTATTTTCATTTTTTCAAAATTCTTGTTATCGAAATGTAGTTGGCATAGCATGTTCTATTTGTTTCTGGTGTGCAGCGTTTATTCGACAGTTCCGTACATGGCTCAGCGCCCACCATGATCAGGGTAGTACACCCACCTCCTTTTATAGGGGTGTACTTTTATAAGTACACCTTATAGGGGCGCCTGGGTGGCTCAGTCGTTGGGCGTCCGCCTTCGGCTCAGGTCATGCTCCCAGGGTCCTGGGATCGAGCCCCTCATTGGGCTCTCTGTTCAGCGGGAGGCCTGCTTCTCCCTCTCCCACTCCCCCTGCTGGTGTTCCCTCTCTCGCTGTGTGTCTCTCTGTCTCTCAAATAAATAAATAAAATCTTTAAAAAAAATAAAAAAATAAACCACCTTATATTCGCAATCCATTTGCCTCACTGCATCGTAAGGACTAAAGGGCTGGTCTTGTAGAATTTTATATGATTCTCTGAAAATAACAACTTTGTAAAAACCTCATTAGAGTTGTAAATACTATGCTGGGAGTTTGGGATGTTATATGACAAGTGTTAGCTTTAGTTGTTTTCAATCTCTTTGAGTTAAAATTGCAGAGACCACCGTTGGAAATGAAATCCATTTATACTCAGCTACCTGCTGTTCACTCATTAAACCTCTTGAGTCTAGTCGGTGCTGGTAACTGCCAGGGATGCAGAGATGAACAGGCTGCAGCCCCTGTGCTGGAGGTTCTCCTGGCTTGTGGGGGTGGGGGGGGTGTCCAGTGAAGTAAACACACAGAGTTATGGACAGGGGCACTTGGGTGGCTCAGTCGGTTGTCGGTTAAGCGTCTGCCTTCAGCTCAGGTCATGATCAGCGGGGAGTCTGCTTGTCCTTCTCCCTCTGCCGCTCCCCCTACTCATGCTTTCTCTCTCTCTTTATTTTAAGATTTTATTATTTGAGAGAGAGTGAGAACAAGCAAGGGGGAGGGGGAGAGGGGGAGAGAGAAAGAATCAGACTCCCCGCTGAGCAGGGAGCCTGACGTGGGGCTCGATCCCAGGACCCTGAGATCATGACCTGAGCCGAAGGCAGACGCTTAACCAACTGAGCCACCCAGGCGCCACCCCCCACCCCCACTCTCTCTCAAATAAATAAATAAATACAATCTTAAAAAAAAAAAAAGAGCTATGGACAGACTGCAGAGGGTCGCTGAGAGTTCTGTGTAGGGAAGGGCCCCTGCTCCGGGAAGGACTTTTGATGTCAGGTTCCATCTTGATGGAAAAGTAAGAGCCGTTCAGGAAGATGAGTGGGCGAGGGATTGCTAACGTAGGAGCAGATTTTAAGCAGGGGAGCATGACTGAAAACAGCTATAGAAAACAGCCTGTGTCATTCTTAAAGGTGGGCCACTGTCGGGGGGTTGGGGGGAAGACCAGAGGCAGGGAGACGGGCCGGAAGGCTGCTGGGCCTCAGTGAGAAGGACAGGAGCCTCCACCGAGGCCGTGACAGAGCCACAGAGGAGCTACGAGGCGTTTAGGCAGAACTGCTAGCAGAAGGGGCCATCGAATAGGACGGTGGTCATCAAGGGGGAAATGAAGATGACTCAGACACATGTCCTGGTATTTTCACAGTCTCGTGGGAGGCGAAGGACGTGTTGAGTGTGATTCAGGTGGAAAACCCTGAGAAAAGAATAGGTAGAGTGCTAACTCCTCTTGGCCCCCGAGAGCATGTGAGAACACAGGCACCTCTTTCCAAGTGGTTTCCTTTTTCAAGGTGGGATGAATAGGTGGCCAGTCCACGGCTAAGAGTCCCTGTTCGGCAACTAAAATAACTCGTTATCATGTTGGTATCTAAGTAACAGAATCGTGGAGATGATTCAGTACATTTCCTAATTTCAGTTCCTTTTTTCTTCTTTACTGGGCTCATCCCATACTCCCAAGCGTTCCCATAGCTAGAGCTCTTTATGAGACCTGTATCATCATGCCATGGCATGTTCTATTATGTATATAACAGTATCATAGGTTACATCATTACCTCGAGCAAGCTGACACAAGATGTGTGAGTCCAGGAGGATGTGATGGAGTCCAGAAGGAAAACCACACCCCTCAGTCGCCCCCCCCCCCCGAAGCATCAGCAGACCTTGTTGCCCAGCTGGAGCAGCACGCCTGGTTACGTAGCCCGGCAGCCAGCTCTTTGGCCCAGGGTGACAGTAAAATGATCTCCCTTACCAAGAATGTTAACTATCACCATCTCTTCATTATGTTTCTGTAGTTGTAACTCCTTGGCTATCTACAGGCTAGTGTAGTGTCACTGCAGTGAGTTACCAGGATCCTGGGCCCAATCGTTTAGTTTTCTCTGATGTGGGAAAGCCAGAAAATCTCCTCAGCATCCCTCTGTGCTCAGGGAAGCCTGGCGCTAGGGGAGTGCCTCTTGAGTTGCCCTTTGGTTCACCAGCAAAGTTGCAAAGCAATATTCTTGCAGTCTTGGAATTAATTGTTCTAAGCAAGGAGAGAGAGAGAGAGAGAGAGAGTGTGTGTGTGTGTGTGTAAGTGAATGAAGCATGTTTTAATCATGAGCCTTCTTGTCTTATATTGTTAAATTCACATGGGTATGATTTTCTTCTCCTGCAACTTGCTCTTAACAATACTTCGGATACACTTGGTTCCTGAGGAAGTGTTGGTTTCCAGAGCAGGAACTGATACGTATTTCAGAATGGCTGACAAACTGGGGTTTTATAAAAAAAAGCGTATTAAATGTCTTTAGAGAGAGAGTTTATAGTACTTTATAAAAGTCTCTTTCACAGGGGTGCCTGGCTGGCTCAGTTGGAAGAGCGTGTGACTCTAGATCTCAGGGTTATCAGTTTGAGCCCCACATTGGACACAGAGATTACTTAAAAACAAACAAAACCCAGAACAAAATGTATCTTTCCCATAGGGTATCATTACTTCAATTGGCAGAGCCCAAAGCTAGAACCTGGCACCTGAAAGTGAATCTGCCCAGTCACTAGCATTGCTGGACACCAGGCCTAAGGCACCTAGCAGAGACCCGTACCATTTCTGTGCCATCCGCTGAGTGAGTTGTCTCTGTGTGTAGATAATGAACCTGCTGAAGAAGTTATCCAGTCCAACATTCTCCTGCATTCCAACATCGCCAGCCTCGTCAAAGACCAAGTGGTTCTGAATATGGACTCCGGAGACTCCGAAGCGGTCAATGGACTTATTTTCCAGCATGTCACCCTCCTCATGTGCTCGGCTTATAAGAACCAGTTGCTCAACATTTTCGTCCGCCCTTCCTTAGTAGCTATGGCACTGCAGATGACCCCCGGGTTCCGGAAAGGTAACTTGCGGGAATGTGGTCTTGAGCTTTGGAAGAGACCCGGACATTCAGCTCTCTATAGGGAGCAACACTTGAAGCCTTAGAATGCTCAGCCACATGTGTGCACCCCAGACAGCAGCAAAGAAGGGGGCCTGTACACTCTGAAGAAGTTAGGTTGGTGCCAACACATGGCCCTCTGCTTCCAATTTGGGAATGGAAAGGGACCTAAGAAATTAACCTGAACCTCTCCTTTTATAAATAAGGGAAGTAAGGCCTGGCAAGTTACATAATTCTCTACGCAGGGGTCTGGGCCTAGAGCACAGCTCTCCATCTCCTGGCCTGAGGCCCTTTCTCCCTCGTCTGGCAGCACCAGGCGGGGTGGGTAAACAGTCCAGCAGTGCAGGAGTGCCTTCTAGATACACAGTCAGTCGTGTTCTAGTGGCAGTGAGGAGTGGAACAATGAACAACACCGTTTTGTTCCCAGGAACCTGTTGTCAAGGTCAGGGGTGTTCTACCCCGGCTCTGCTGGAGTTACTGGAGGGCGAGCCCCACCCCCAAAGGTGCTGATTCAGTTGGTCCGGAGTGTGGGCCAGACACTGATGCTCTTGTTTTTGTTTTTCAAAGCTCCATAGATAATTCTAAGGAAAAGTCAGACTTAGACCTTTAGCCTTGGAAGGAACCTTACGTCCTGTGTCCATGCCCTCATTTGTGAATGAGGAAACGGGCCTGGAGAAGTCAGTTTAGTTCAAGACACAGAACACTCAAATCTTGGTCTTAGTTCTGAGGTTTCTTACATCAGAGTTCATTCACAACTAAGGGGTACATGCTTGGTCTTCTAGTGTTGGGACCACCCTGAAATTGGAGGCAACACTTCATGCCCACACATCCGTATATCTTCTAACGAGAAAGTTCATAGCATGTGTCAGAAGAATGAAGAAACCTCTGTAGTTAACGGGCAAGGGAGACCTATGTGTCTGGAGAATGAGACGGTATTTTCTTTTGTGTGCTGGTGTATCCTAGTGCTAAAGATACGGTAAAGACAACAGGAAGTAGGACTAGAGAAGGCATTGAAGTAATTCATTCCTTTCCTTCTCTACTAGGGAGCCCTGGGCAGGGGTACGTGATGTACCCTAGCTTTTAAGAAATGTAGCCTCTCGCTCATCAGCACACTGACTGGGTAGAGGCCTGGTTGTGATTCAGATTCAGCTGTTGGCACTGCTAAACTATAAAATTTGGAATGCCAAATAGCTTCCTTTGGGGGCCTGAATTCTCGTCCCTGGCATTGAATAATATGTCTTTGGAGTTAAGTGCGTTTTGGAGAGTCGTGGACTTCTTGGTACTTCCTGAAAGTTTAAAAACCAGCATTGTAATTGGATGTAATTAATTTATTTCCAGAGGATGTCTACAGTTGCTTTTACTTCCTGCTCAGTGTTTTTTCAGATGAGTTCATCTTCCTTCCAGGAAACGCACTAAAGGTAAATCTTTACAGCCAAAGAGCACAAGTGTGTTCACAGTGTGAGTTCTGGACGTGGTAGGCTTGGATTCACGCATGTGACTTCCCTTTGTCCAAGGCTACACGCAGCAGAAATAACGAGACTCTTGGACACTCACAGTTCTGTGAGCTCTATATTGATTCTTGGTCAAGTTTAATCAATAAAGTAGGGATTATTTGGCAAGAAGAGAGTCATTCTTTAAACCTTGAGTGCAGCCATTGTAAATAAATCAACACTGTTTTGTTAAAAATTTACCAACCGGTACACATTTTCCTGCTAAGAACTTGTTGGAATGTGTCGGACCTTTTGCTTTGAGATTAGAGAGCAATGGTCTTGCCTGATGGCGTAGTTTGTCAGGGATAGAGCCTCCAGAGCTGGACCTCCGGTTAGCTGGGGCGGGGTGTGTACCAGGACAGACAGAAGGTGGTCAGGTTTCTGTACGCTGTGCCAAGGAGCCCAGGTTTTACTCCGTTGAGAATGAGGTCAGCAGTTTTCTGAGCATAAGCATAATTCCACATATTTTTAGGACCTGCTATATGCACTTCCTATGTAAATTTAAGGAATGTGGCTATGCAAAGTGAGAAAATCCACCACCCGGGTCATGATTTCTAAGGCTCATGAGTCTTGTGTGTGTTTGCTGTGTTTGGGGTTCAACATTTTGAGTATTGGAACACATGCTTCTCTGGCTGCTATCTAACAACCAGAACCTTCTGGAAGGGTTGTGGAATTAGCTGGTGTTCTCTCGTTCTGAGGGCACATGGCTGCGTTTACTGAGACCAGCAGCGTACCCATTAACCTAAATTAGTGGATGCTCCCTGTCTTCTCCCCTTCCTTCCCAGGACTTTGAAGAAGGCTGTTACCTGCTTTGTAAAAATGAGACAATACAAGTGACGACAAGGGACATCCTAGTCACAGAGAAAGGAAATACCGTGGTAGAATTTTTAATAGGTCTCTTTAAACCTTTTGTGGAATGTTATCAGGTATGTAACTCTTTGGCAAGTTCTCCTTCATCCCCCTGTATCCAGTATAACTAAGACCTCCCACCCTGTGTTTGCTTCTGGTCCGAAGGGCAAGTGTCTTCCCCAGGTGAATGGTGGAACTAGAGAGATTGCCCAGTAGGATGAAAGATTCACCTCTCAGGTGAAGACCTTGCTCCGCTAGAGGGGTCCCTTACAGACCCGAGAGGGTAACAGCTTCAGGATGCCCAGAACCACACTTAGACCCAAGCGCCGTCATGCTGTACCTTACGGCTTTTCTCATAGCTCGGCGTTTGAAACATTGCGGGCACTCGCTGAATGCAAGATTGGAATGATATGTCATGTCAGTGATATGTATCACTAAAGGCCAATGGAAGGGGAAGAAAAGGTTCAAGTGCAAGTATCCGAGTTTGTCAGAGCTCTAAGAAGTGGTTAAAACAGAGGGGACGGTAGAGATGCCCAGCAGGAATGGTGCCAGGATTCAAAGGGACAGGGCGGTCTGCAGTGGAACCCCTCAGAGGGGCCATACATATTTGCCAGAAGAGGACTCTGGCTCTGGCTCTGAGCGTGGGTTAGCAGCCCCCGGGACCAACGTCCTGGCAGGGGGGTGCTCTGACCGATGACAGAGCCCCTGTGCCAAGTCCAGCACTGAGTGGGTATCTGAGAAATGCTCCTTCTGCCCATAAGCACCTTTCTGTGGTACAAGTCATCAAGCATTTGGGGGCCTAACAAACTCTTAGGTGTTTTTAGGGAGAAAGCAGTTACACAAAATCTGGCCCCTCTCTTCCTGAGCAGCCTAAGATCTGTTAAGCTGACCGTAATTCACTCAACTTGAAACCCGTGAAAGTGAGAAAATGTATTTTAATAAATGTCAATACTATTTCAGACTTTTTTTTCTGATTCTAAGCAGTGATACAAGGTCCAGAGGGACCGCCTAAAAATTCTGTAGCTTTTCTGGACAAACCTTGGAGAGTCTTTATTCTGCTCTGACATCATGTAGCTTTCTGTCAGGGGGGGGCCAGGTCGCATCAGTCGCTGCTGCAGTGTACTTGGCTGCCTTTTTCTCTTTCTGTTCCCCTCACCCTTTCTGTTAAAATCAGATAATTTGCAAATACCTCTTGAATGAAGAAGAAGACTACTTCACTGAGAAACAGTACTTGGCTGGAGTTCGAAAATTCACCAGTCAGCTTCTTGATCAAGGTTAGTCACACCTCTATGGGTGGTGACTTTTTGTAGTTGGGAACAAAAAGGGGTCCTCTGACTCTTTTCTCCCTGTGTTGTAGGTGCCTCGCAGTGTTACGATGTCTTGTCTTGCGACATACAGAAAAATGCCTTAGCAGCTTTTGTGAGGCTAGGTGTGGTAGAGAAGAAGAAAGTGTAAGTACTGTGCACGGGGCTGGAGGGGCAGTGACCGCTAACAGTCGCTGAGCACCGAATGCAGACAAAGTCCCCGAAACAGGATATCGTGCTTCATTCATCCATCTCCTGATGAGTTATGTCAGCAGGAGTTACTGTGTGAATTTTATGTAGTTACGAATGAAAATGGTATTGAAGCAAAGAAAGAAGGTATTTTAGGCTAACATTTTGGCCTTGACCTAATATTGAAATGTATAGGTGAATTATAAGAAAGATTTTTGGGGAGTGTAATAGAGTGTGTGTGTGTGTGTGTGTGTGTGTGTGCGCGCGCGCGCACTTACATATACACACAAACATACACGTATAATACATAAAGACACACATATGTGTATGTGCAGATAGCTGTTTCCTCTTCTGAGTGAATGAATGTAAGAGTGACCAGGCTTCACGGGGAGTCTTGTAGTATGTCTCTCATGTCATCAGAAGGATGAAGCATGAAGCCAGCAAGTAGGGCAGGAGCAACGGGTTTGTCAACTACTTAAAGACTTGGCCTTGATGAACATTATCGAGAAGTAGTCTTGGAGCACCTGGCTGGCTCAGTTGGTAGAACCTGCAACTCGAGATTGCAAAAATAAATAAATAAACAAACAAACTTGAAAAGAAAAGTAGTCTTGGGACGCCTGGGTGGCTCCGTCGGTGAAGCGTCTGCCTTCGGCTCAGGTCATGATCTCGGGGTCCTGGGATCGAGTCCCGCATCAGGCTCCCCGCTCAGTGGGGAGCCTCCTTCTCCCTCTGCCTCTGCCGCTCTGCCTGCTTGTGCTCTCTCTCTCTCTCTATCCCTCTTTCTGTCAAATAAATAAAATCTTTTAAAAAAAAGAAAAAAAGTGGTCTTACTGTATAAATAATGAACATTGACTTCCCCTACCCAAGTTTATGTAATAAGAACTTTTTGCTTTTTTTCCTAGAAATAGGGACAGTGTATTTAATGTGAACGAACCTGCCATGACAAAATTAGAAGAAATGCTTGGTAAGTACAGTTTAGTGACACGTGATGGGTTTTCACGTTGTATTTATCACCATACAGTGATAAATAAAGTATACTATGGCACCAAATACTTTATCAAAACGAACAACAGAGTTTTAATATAAACAGAACTATTTATATGATCTAGGTTTTTCTCAAGGAAAGTAAGGAGAAAGTGCAGAGAAAACACAACAAGCAGAACATGGTCAGTCTTCTACAACATAATTACCAGCGTCTAGCATAACTAATTAGGGTCTGAGATCTGGACCCTTCACATCCAGTCTTGGTGGACATGGAGAAAATACCTCTTACCTGAGTCCTCGGATTTATCCTCTTCCTCTCTACCGTTGGGTCCCTGGCAAAGGGTTGGGATCAGTGTTCACGGCGTATAGACTTTCTGAACTCAGAATTGGGGGTGATAGCATTCCTTGGGAGAATCATCCAACCCTTACTCTTCTCCAGACACCATCAGCTTACCAACAGATAGTCCAGCCCAGAAAGGCAGGTCATTTGTTTGCAGTACGAAGAGAGAGTCAAGAGTCAAGAGATATAGGGAAAGAGATCTAAGAGAGCAGAGGAAGTAGCGAATATTTCTCGTAGGAATGACAGGGTGGTTTTAGAAGGGGAGGGGGCCGGTGTTTGAAAAAAAAAAAATAGTTATCTGCTGATGATACTGAATAAGCACTACATTGTTGAGTGGATATTCTTGTAAGTAGTATTCTTGTACGTAACCCTAATTCAGTACATTTGTCAAACCTGCATGGCAGAGCTTCAGGTAGGTATCTGGTGGGATGAGGGGAAACCATATGGTAAAGGAGAATGGTTGAAGTGAAAGGGTAGAAGGCAAAGGAATTGTTGACATCAGTAGGGAAGGTGGAATACTAGTTTCTTGTTGAAGAAAATATGAAGGTTGAAATCCCAGTCTTCTGTCTGAAATCTTAGAATATGTACCATTGAAACTCGATTTTGAGTTTGGTAAGAGGGGCGTATAGCTGAACCAACCCCTAAAACCCTCATTCTGTGAGGATGATGGAATTGATTACTTAATCGCGGGTGGCAAATATAACATGGGTATGAACGTACTAGAACATACTGGACTGGAAGTCCCGAAAGCAGACTGGGTTCTGATCCTGGCTCTGCCCTGGGCCGTAAGGGGTGCAGGAGGTGGGGGCCGCTGCTGCTTCCCCTGCGGAGGGGCCGGTATCTCCACCAGTGCTCTGTCAGCCTGTGAAACCACACAAGGCTTAAACAACTGTATGCGGAAATGACTCAGGGTCATTTCATGGGCTGTCTTTTTTTTTCTTAGGTTGTAAGACACCAGTAGGAAAGCCAGCGACTGCAAAACTTTAATATTGCCAAACAGTTACAGGAAATTTGGTCACATAATGGCTGTCATCCAAGGACTCTTACTCCAACAAACAGGGCCACGAAGGAAGACAGCCACCTGCTCGTGCTTCGTACGACAGGAGAGCCGTGGGCTCGGCAGAGAGGAGGTGACCAGTGTGTGCAGTCGGTGTAGCCCTCTCCACCACGACGGTTACAGAGGCTTTTGTGTCCAACTCTGTGTGTGTTTTAAAATAAAACGGTCTTTTGGAAACATGTTTGGGAAAACAAAGCCCAGTCCTATTTCTTTTCTTTTTTTTAAGATTTTACTTATTTGACAGAGAGAGACATAGTGAGAGAGGGAACACAAGCAGGGGGAGTGGGAGAGGGAGAAGCAGGCTTCCCGCGGAGCAGGGAGCCCGATGCGGGCCTCGATCCCAGGACCCTGGGACCATGACCTGAGCCGAAGGCAGACGCTTAACGACGGAGCCACCCAGGTGCCCCAGCCCAGTCCTATTTCACTAACACTTTTCGACTTACTATCACATGTATTAAACTTTTATGCTGATTCATGAATGACAGTGTGACATGGACACTGAAGGCGTGGCTGTCAGAAGCAAACCACTGTGAGGGCACACCTCCATTTCTCGTGGCTGTCCTTCCATCCAGTGGCCTCAAACAAGTAAAAGTTTGGCAGAGTTGTGTAATAACTTAGCTAGCTTATGTAAAAGTTTGCCACCCGAGGGCCTGATCACTACAAGTGCTTTAGAGAAAGTACGTGCAACAAAGAGAAGTGATAGGCTTAAGGAAAAAAATGGGCCTAAGAATTCGGGAGAAGAGGGGGCGTCTGGCTGGCTCAGTAGAGCATGTGACTCTTGATCTTGCTGCCTTGAGTTCAAGCCCCACGTTGGGTGTAGAGATTACTTTAGGTAAACTGTCGGGGCGCCTGCGTGGCTCAGTCAGTTAAGCGTCTGCCTTTGGCTCAGGTCATGATCCCAGGGTCCTGGGATCCAGGCTGGCATTGGGCTCCCCACTCAGCAGGGATTCTGCTTGTCCTTCTCCTCCTCCCTTCCCCACTGCTTGTGCTTGCTCACGCTCTCAAATAAATAATCTTTTAAAAAATGAAAATAAACCTTAAAAATTTTTCGGAAGAAAAGTTTGAAATAAGATGGGTGAACACCAAAAATTGTGACAGACAGCCACCTCTGGAAGTGATATGTAAGTCGAGCATTAAGATGAGTAGGTGCCAGCCCTCAAAGCGTGAGAGTAGGGGTCAGGGGGCAAGGTGTGCAGAGAGAATAGAGATCACAATGTCCTGGGGCTGGTTCTGGAGTACCTGAAAGACCAGCATGGCTGAAGCAAGAGTCGTGGCAATGAAATTAAAAAGAAAGGCAGGGGTAGTAGTCTGCTTGGGCCGCCATAACTAAATACCAGACAAGGGTGGCTTACACAGCAGAAATTTCTTTCCTCACAGTTCCGGAGGCTACAAGTCCCCAGATCAAGGTGCCAACAGGGTAGGGTTCGTTCTCAGGCCTTTCTCTGGGCTTGTAGGAGGCCGCCATCTTGCTGTGAGCTCCCACAGTGGCCCTGCCTCTTTACTCCACGTAGCCCCAATTGCTCCCCAGAGGCTCCATCTCCACAGTGATGCTGGGGGAGGGTGGTTAGGGCTTCCAGATGAGAACTTGGGGGGCCACAAGTCAGTCCATAGCAACAGGGTCAACACGGCCGGTGGCTTAGGGACTCTCCGAAAACATTCGGACTGGAATATAAGTGCCGCGGAAAATGTTGGGAAGTTTCGGCGTGTGGTGCCAGGACTCGCTGTGTCCAGATTCGCGGACCGTGCAGTGGTTTTGCAGAGGCCCGGCCGTTCCCGCTGCTCGCGTAGATCGTGGAGAGCCGGGGCGCGAGCCCGTGCACCCGTGCCGGGGGGGCCTCCGTGCGTCTCTGCTTGTGCGCGAAGCCGGAGAGTGGTGCGTGTTGATACGAAGAGTGGAGGAGGCCCCGGCAAAGGAGTTCGCGGCACGCCAGCCAGCCAGGCAGGGGCACGATGCTGCCGCCGCGCCGGGAAAGCGTGTGAGCCCAGGGCAGCTGCGAGCCTGGGCCCCGGGCCAGGCCTTGCTGAGTAGGTGTGCCTTCGCCAGAGTCGCCGTACACCCAATTTCGCTTATTGGGTTTTCTCCGCGACATTCACACTGTGCATAGAAAGGTTGAAGGCGGGGTAAGATGACTTGTTTGCATTGAATACTCTTCAAATCTGGGGGCAAAGCCTAGAGTTCTGGGTGCCCGTGCCTGTCAGCTTCTCTCCTGGCCGGCTCTGACATCAAAGCCAGCAAAGTAGAGGGGCAGGAAGGCGGGGTGCAGCAAAACCGAATGAGGCTGTGGAACAGAGGCTGCTGTGAGGAATGGACCCGTCTCTTCAAACCCTCTCAAGTAACTCAAGGAAACCTAACGTCTTAGAGGATAGCATGCTTCCTGTGCTAATGCACTTTCAAGGCACGTATCCTGTGCCCTCCCGCGTGCCTGTACCCCATCCTGTACCCCCACGCATGCCCCTGCACACGGCCACTTTTAAACCACACAGGTGTCCCTCAGCCCCTCCACTCCCGCCTTTCTAGAAATTGTGAAGCCGCCACTGCCTTGAAGTAAAAAGGCCTGTAGCAGGTGGCTTTCCGAGAAAGTCTCCTGTCCAAACAGGATAATGTAGCAGCTAAAAATGCAAGGCCTCTGGTCCAACTGGGTTTGAAATCCAGCTCTGCCCTGTGTTCTTGTGTGATTAATTTATACTCAAAGCCTCAGGCTCCTTATCCATACAATAAGGATGATGATAATCCCTCTTGGGCTGTGAGAAATAGGAATGCCAAGGGCACGTGGCTGGCTCAGTCCGTACAGCAGGCGACTCTTGATCTCGGGGTCCTCAGTTCAAGCCCCGTGTTGGGCATAAAGCTTACGTGGAAAAGAAAAGAAAAAAATAGGAATGTCGGTAAAATATTTGAAACCGTCTTGGGCAGTAAGCATAATCCGTTACTACTACGACTGACAGGGACAAACCCTAGTTGGCCTCTAAGAGAAGGCGAGATTGGGTGCTCTCTAGTGGGTTCCTGTGGCCCTAGGTGCTTGCGTCCCTGACCTACAACCTTGAGAGCCTGCCTCAGCCCCGCTGCTCAGCCCAACAGCATTATGCTGCCGTGCATAGCTCAGTATGTCACCCAGACACCTGCCATATCCCAAGTTTGGCTGTGCCATGGTAGAAATCACAACTTTTCCCTACATCTCTACGTCACTAATAGAACGGGAACGTTCAATTTGGGGTAGAAAATAGATATTGATGCCTTGTTTGACTTTGTTCATAGCTTTACTTGTTTTCCTAAATTAAAATTACCAACTCTGACAGAAAGTACAAATCTCCCATCAATAGATTCAAGTGTCATTTTTTTCTAGAACCCACTCTGGGCCTACTACACAGCTGTCAACCGGGGATTTCCCATCACTGTCCTCTTGGCAATTCCCTTCACTTTTCTGTGTTGGATTCCCCTCTTTGGGTCCCGTTTCTTCCTTTTTCAATTTTATCAATTGTTTATCAATTCTAGTGAAGTCCTGTCTTCCACTGTAAGAGGGATTAATGCTTTAGACCTCACCTGTGTAAAAATGTCTTCTTTCCACCCATAGTTGCCTGATGATTTAGCTGGGTGAATTCTAGGTTAGAAATCATTTTCCCTGAGAATTTCGAAAAGCATCTCTCCCTTGTCTTCTAGTTTCTAAAGTTATTCTTCTCAAGTCAAAAGAGCGTTCTGATTCCTGAACACAACCTATTTATAGGCCTTCTCAGAAAGTCTTTAGGATCTCTTTTCTATAGTTTCTGAAATTTCGGATGATGTGTTTGTTGTCAGTGTTTTATGTTTTGTTTTCTGTGGCTTCAACAAATGTACGATCTTAGAGTCGATGAGGTCAGAAGTCTGAAAGGAATCTCACTGGGCTAAAATCAAGGTGTCAGCTTGATCAGGAGGCTCGAGTGGGAGAATCTGTTTCCTTGCCCTTCCCAGCTCCTAGACGCCGCCCTCCTTCCTTGGCTCGGGGCTCCTTCAAATCCAGCAATGTCGGCTGGAGTCCTCATTCTGGATCTTCCTGGTTTTTTCTTCTGTCTTTCTCTCCCCCCACCCTTTTTTTTAAGTAAGAGATAACTGACATAACATTATATTAGTTTCAGGTGTACAACATAATGATTTGATATCTGTATATATTGCAAAATGATCACCACAGGAAGTCTAGTTAATCTGTCACCATACAGTTACAAAAATTTTTTTTCTTGTGATGAGAACTTTCAAGATCTAATTTGTCTACTTTAAAATATGCAATGCAGTGTTAACTATAGTTACCCTGCTGTGTATTACATCTTCATGACATTCATTTTGTAACTGGAAATGTACACCTTTTGACTGCTTTCAGCCATTTCGCCCATTGCCAAGCCCTCTCCAGACAACCACCAATCTCTTCTCTAGATCCACTGAGCTTGGTTTTTTGTTGGGTTTTTTTGGTTGTGTGTGTGTTGGGAGGGGGGGTTGTTTTCTTCAATTCCACATATTAATGAGATCATAGAGTATTTTTCTTTTTCTGTTTGCCTTATTTCATTTAGCATAATGCCCTCAAGTTCTATCCATGCTGTTGCAAATGGCAAGGTTTCCTTCTTTTTAATGGCTGAATAATATATCATGTGTGTATGTACCACAACTTTTTTATCCATTCATGAATGGACACTTAGGTTGCTTCCATGTCTTGGCCATTGTAAATTATGCTGCAGTGAACATGGCGGTCCGGATGTCTTTTCAAGTTACTGTTTTCTTTTCCTTCAGATAAATCCCCATAAGTGGAATTACTGGGTCATAGGGTAGCTCTATTTTTAATATTTTGAGGAACCTCCATACTGTCTTCCACAGTGTCTGCACCAATTATGCTCTCACCAACGGTGCACAAGCGTCCCTTTTCCCCACATCCTCGCCACCACTTGTTATTTCTTGGATTTTGAGAGCAGCCATTTTAATAGGTGTGAGGTGATCTCTCACTGTGGTTTTTAACTTGCTTTTCCCTGATGATGAGTGATGGTGAACATCTTTTCATGTACTTGTTGGCCATCTGGATGGCCTCTTTGGAGAAATGTCTGTTCCAATCCCCTGATCATTTTTTAATTGGATTGTTTTTTTGCTATTGAGTTGTGTGGGTTCTTCATATATTTTGGATAGTATCCCCTTATCAGATACATGATTTGCAAATATTTTCTCCTA